ATTGGAGTATATCTCATCAATATTACTATCATATATATTGGAGCATATCTGTCATTAATATCACTATCATATATACTGGAGTATATCTCATCAATATTACTATCATATATATTGGAGTATATCTGTCATTAATATTACTATCATATATATTGGAGTATATCTCATCAATATTACTATCATATATATAGGAGTATATCTGTCATTAATATCACTATCATATATATTGGAGTATATCTGTCATTAATATCACTATCATATATATTGGAGTATATCTGTCATTAATATCACTATCATATATATTGGAGTACATCTGTCATTAATATCACTATCATACATTCTGGGGCATACATCATTAGCATCACTATCATATATACTGGAGTATATCTGTCATTAATATTACTATCATATATTATGGAGTGTAAGTGTCATTAATATCACTATCATTTCTACTGGATTATAACTGTCAATAATATATAAATCACACATTCTGGAGTATATCTGTCATTAATATCACTATCATATATTTTGGAGTATAACTGTCAATAATATATAAATCACACATTCTGGAGTATATCTGTCATTATTATTTATATCATACATTCTGGAGTATATCTGTCATTATTATCTATATCATACATTCTGGAGTATATCTGTCATTATTATCTCTATCACACATTTTGGAGCATATCTATCATTAATATCTCAGTCCTGTATTCTAGAGTTTAGCTGTTTGGTAGAAACATGCCACACTTGTACTGTGACTCGGTCTCATCACTCTTATTACTGGGATGGGAGAATTATGGAGGACTTTTAAAATCAGTTACAGTATTCCAAAATATATTTTAAGGAGTCACAGTGACTTCTAAATGTCAGCATGAATATCAAATACCATTCTTTTTATTTCATAACAAACATTAAATACATAAAACAAAGAAAGTAGTAGACCTAATGATACTCTAGAATTCCCACCCACTATATATCACAAACCACAAGATGGGAAAGACTGTTCCAAACAATAAAAGTTATAATTATCAGTAACAGTTATAATCTGAATATATTCAAACAAGAGGATACTTCCACTATCTTTTCCAGAATTTCGCCTTGGCTTGGTACAAGTCTGAAATTTTATTCTAAAGCCATAAAGGTAAAAAATATGTAGGTTAACATAAAAATTATACTTACATCATATTGATCTTAAGCTTTAAGAAAATGGCAATTTTTAAAAACTAAACATTTTTAGGACTTTATAATTTTTCAAACAAAATAAAAATAATACACAAGTAGACTAAATAAAGAAGCTCTTGGTTAATCAATCGTAAACATACGTATCAGTTTCAACTTTAAAGCTTAAACGAAAATTTTAATTTCAGAAAATGTCAATCTTACAAGTTACAAAAGTAAAGCTACATTCTATGTCAATTATTTTTATTAACAGCAATGTTAAGCCTAATTTACGACGATACAAAACTAGGCCTAACGCGAGGATAACAGTAACATCACAGTAAACCTAATTCAAACTGATAAGCGTAGGAAATCTTATTCACCTTTTTGTGATACAATTTGGTTTGTATTAGACTGATCATCCATCATTAAAATATGGTCTTAATTTTTCTATTTGATATACTACGTAACTGACCGGATAAAGAAACGTGTAGTATAAAAAAAATACAATAGGAATGAATTCTACCGCAACAACTCCCAAACTGTTCTTTAGTAAAATCAGGAACGCGTTCAGATTTATAGCCGCTTGCCCGTTATTTCTAGCTAACGCTTCATTAGTAGCCTCCTCGCAGTATTCTTTAAGCGAAGAAAATATTCGCTCACTTAACTCACTAGCATATAAGATAGCGGCATTTACGGGTGACTGGAAGCCATGATTGAGGAAGTCTTACAATTCACTAATTTAATCAAGTTCACACCGAGACATTTTTTTATTCAAGTAAATAATGTTTAAAATAGCATCTAGACCCCTACTATGTCTGTCTTATTCCAGCCAGCCTGATGAACTCTGGAACTAGACGAAAGGCTTCGTCGGTACTCGATATAGTAAATACAGTGTGACTGGCATAATATGATATTCTTCTTTACTTTCACAAGTTCTTATAATTTCATGAAATAACACAATATGTTCTGTTCGAATTATATGCGAGGAGTAACTTCAGGAATGTAATGACATTATTTAAGCTATATTTTTAATGTTGATAGTGTTACGACAGTGGAAGTCACGTTACGCTAGTAACACGTCATGAGCTTCTAGAAAATTTCTGTCCCTTCGTTAAGCCTCGAGTGTTTACTAGATGTACGGTATTCTTGTATATAAGACTGCCAAGAAGTGATGGCAACAATGTAATTGAACTGCAGACAGAGATAGAGACTGACAATTGAGTCGAGCACGTGAGTCGTTCATTGTTTGTTATAGCGTGACTATGGAAATTAAGTGTATTGCAAAGTTGTATTGAGAAAGAATAAACTAGTTTTATTCAAGAAAGGACGTGTATCGTTAAAGTTTCTTTGGAAAGTATTTTTACGGAAAATTAACAAACGAACAGGGACGTAACAATACTTATAAGTTAGTCAGAAGGAGCTGCAAGTTTTTTTAATCATAACGTTAAGAACAAAAAAGTTTAATTAGATAGACATAGAAAACTGTAAGGATGTGACGTAAAGTTTTCTAGCATATTCAAAGCAGATTACAAATACAAATCCGTGATGTATCGAGAGCATGGAGTTATTAGAAGACAGAGAGTTGAATCAATCAATATGTTTTTCTAAAGTATTTGGATCTGTGTTTGTTATTGCACTTATTGTGTTATTTTGTACAAGTAAGTTGATTTTATGTTACTTATCATTTTGTTGGAAAGGGTTGAACATTTGTAACATTGGCATACAACAAGTTACCACAGTGTGCAAATGTTCAATTTTGTAGAAATATTAAAAGAAGAAATAAGATAATTTATTCTCGTCACATGGATTGAACATTGAATTTTTCCACCAGATAATTTAGAATAACCCAGGAATGAAAGAACAATGTTACAACATTGGTGTTAGAAGTGGGATATTATTTTGTTGAAAATATAATTTTGACTAAAATTCAACTTTCATTCAAGAAGACCACAAACTAAGATTGTAAATATGATAAACATGATAAAACAATGGAAAAGAAACAAAATATAAATAAAGAACTAGAAGAAATTTAGAAAATTAGAAGAAATAGACAGCAAATTATGAAAACCAAGAAGAAATTTACAGAAAATTGAAAGATGATCAGCAAGAATATAATAGGAATTTAAAAAAGAAGTTAAAAGAAAGAGATGTTATATTTAAAGAAAAATTAAAATAAAAAAATAATTTTATTGTGGAAAGATCAATGAAACTATAAGGATCATAGAGACTGATTACAACAATAAGTTTAAAGAAATGCAGAAAGACATCAACAAAGTCAAAAATAAAGTAATGAAAGATATCAACGAGGTAGAAAAGAACATTGATGATGGAAAATAACATCTAGAAAACGAATTATTAAATGCATGGATTAAACCAGCCAAACTGCACTGACTCAAGAGTTCCAACCACAAACATCATCTACTAATAGTTATGGAATAGGAGAACTTGTTTAGCCTAAATCTAATACTACTATTGCTGTGTCACCTGTTACAGAAGGGCCTTCCTGGAGTATTCCATTCATGACACCACCAACTACAGTTCTAGGTTATAGCTGGCCAATTAAACATTAGTCAGTCAAGAAACCAACAAGCTGTCATAGGAAGGCACCAAGCTCAAATCAAAATCAGTTCCAGAGTGACTAGGTGAAATAGTGAACAATAAGCTATTCATCTTGCTGCCCATTTAAATAGGCCAGCTTTGATAAAATTAAGTAACCTTCCAGATTAGAGCCATAAAAACTATCAAGCATTGGTATCTTCCTTATCCAACAATCTGGGGTGCCACATCAAAAAAATTATCCACTGTAAATTTCCTAAGTAGAGTATGAAGGAAAGAAGAGACTTTAGTTGAATTTGCAGAATATTTAGAAACTCTTGTTCAATTATCTTATCCAGAAATTTTTCATGAAATGATGAATTCATTGACACATGACCAATTTATAGAACCATAAAAAATGAGTATAAGAGAATTAAGCTGAAGAAAAGTAGGTGTACATTCTTATGGGAAGTTCTGTGGTTGGCATTCCAACTAGAATCCGTTAAGTTCTCAGTGTTTACATGTTCATTAACACATGTCTTCAGGATAATGCATAAATATTTCTATGGTTCCACCCAGAGTGATATACGATGTTAAAGCTGTACTAATGAATATTCTGGAGTCATCCT